GGGGCGGCTGGTCTAGCAGCCAGGGTAGCACCACTGCAAGGGTTATTTTTTTATTTATTTTTTTAATCCTTGAGTGCTTCTTTAACATTTACATTGAACATTTCAGGTTTTCCCTAGTTGTTGTCAATGGATCTGGATCATCAATTAGACAGACTGGCTCCTGAAATTCTATATGGCCTTGTCCACCCCTGATATAAATGCACATATATCACATGCTCATGTGAGTGAGACCTTTAGTTATTTCATCAAAATGGAAAATCTCTGTGAACCAAATTGAGTTACAGTACTTTCTTTTGAAAGTGCACATCAACACCCATTAGGGTAACCTTACCCCTCAGCCATCATGTCAGGAGTCGCGATACAGAGTTATGTACAAATGAATGCAACGTTTGGTCCCACAAGAACAATAGAACAAAATGTTGTGTTTTAAAGGTGGTTTAAAGATGCCCATAGGATTACAAAAGGCAGTTGTTTTTCGCGGGAGCCTTCTGGGTATTCTCAAGGGAAAGCAGTCCATAAATCACTTCTTTACAGTCCCATACTGGTGAAGGAGTCTGCAGACGGCGTGATCAGGAGGTGAAATGCATTATGTTACATTGCAGATGAGCCGCTTGTTTAAATAAAGTTCCACTATTTAATTCCTGCCATTCAGTTGCCATATTTTGAGCCCAGGCCGAACCCACACCCATTTCTATTATTCCAGTCATCTGCACAGTCCTGCCGGCACCCGACTTCAGAATAAACTTGGAGTAGGAGAATTAGAAGATTACCCTTGGGGATTTGTGGCTTTCCTAGTGATAAACATAGCCCGTGATCCGGTGCTATTTCCATTAGCGATGCTATCAAGTTCACTGTTTTCCAGACTTTCCATTAACTCGCTATTTATACACGGTCTGCCGAGTTCTGCAAAACAGCGGGGACCGCAGTAAGTTTAAATAAAGGCAGCTAATTTGTATGTAAAATGGTGGTAACCAATGATGGCAACGTTGTGATTTTAGGGAAGCGACTATATTTTATGGAAAGGGGGGGAGGGG